CCAGCGATGTCCGCATCTGCGGTCCCGCTTCTGTGGCTGGGGCTCTGTATCTGCGGAATTTCATTAATTCCCTAAGCACCACACCTGCGCTCAATTCTTCGCAGATGCGGTTCCGCTTCTGCGGTTCCTGAGTCGCATCTGCGACCACTGGTCCTTTTGTCTCAGACCGCACTACGACCTCCTTCCTCGCTTCTGCGGGGCCGCACCTACGGGCTCCTCACCGCAGGTGCGAAAATACCAGAAGCAACCAACTTCAGAATTTGCCTAAGTCCACATTCTCATCCGTTAAGCATCTGAAACTCACCAGAGGCCTCCGGGATCTCAACCAGACATACCAACCAATCCTAAAATATCATACGAACTTAGTCGAGCCCTAAAATCACGATTCACCCTCCAATCCAAACCTAGTGGACTTGAATTTCCAAAATTCTACATCCGATGCCGAAACCAACCAAACCACGTTCGATTGACCCTAAATTTTGCACACAAGTCATATTAAACACTACGGTGCTACTCCAACTTCCGGAATCGGATTCCGACCCCGATATCAAAAATTCCACTATCGGCCCGAAACTCCAAAAATTCAACTTTCGCCATTTCAAGCCTAAATAAGCTACGGACCTCCAAAACATGATCCGGACACGCTCCTAAGCCCAAAATCACCCAACGGAGCTAACGGAATTGACGGAATTCTATTCCACCGCCGTTTTCGCACTGTTCCGACTACGATCCAAATTCTAAGTCTTAATCTCACATTTAGGGACTAAGTGTCCCAAAACACTCCGAAACTCAAAATGAACCATCCCAGCAAACCACATTAGCAAAAATAGACACGGGGGAAGCAATTAATAGGGGATCGGGACGTAAATTCTCAAAACGACCGGCCGGGTCGTTACAAAAAGTCACTAGTAGAAGAAGAATGCAATAACATACGTACTTTTATAGAATGTATCAAAACTCTCTAGACATTTTTACATTTTAAAGGGTGATGAATTGAGAAAAAATGAAAGATGACCAAAGTATAGATCCATCAACTATTCTACAGTAGTTTAAAAGAAACTAAGCAAATACAAAGAAAATATAAATCGCACGAGTAGAAAGATATTAACGAAGCTGAGACTCAAGAATAGATTAGATATTCAAAAAGATAACTATGAATCATATGAAAGGAAGCATATTCAATAAATTGTAGTTTGCTACTCATAATCGCTAAAATACCTTGTGTCTTGCTAGTAAATATGCTGGAAATAATTTAATTTCAATAGGAGTAGCATAGTAAGTTTGAGAATTAGGATTTTGAGTTTAATTATTTGTTGGCTTGTAAATGTTTTCATAGTTCGAACACATAAGGAAAAATAATGTTTTATTATTTTTAAACTTAATATATAAATATATTTTTTACAGGTAAATTTATTCGGTACTATTCGATATTTTTCGATTTATTTTCATAAAATAAAAAACCTGCCCTAATTATTAGTATGGTTATAAATTTATATAAAAACCTATGATTTTATCCAAAAAAACTAAAAATCGGTTCGGTACGGTACGCTACGGTCGATTTAGTCCGTTTTTAAATAACCATTGACATCCTAGTTACACGAAAAGCGCATTTAAAGCGCACATTAATATTTAGACTGAAGGCACGATCAGCAAGCGCACCTTCAGTATAAACACTGAAGGCGCGACAAAGAAGAACGCCTTCAGTATTAATACCGAAGGCACGGTCAACGAAAGCACCTTTAATAAAGTTGCACGTCAAACCAGTCAAATCCGTGGCATGGTTTTAATTACAACTGAAGGCGCGTTAGCACATTGAGCCTTCTGTGTAAATTAAAAATGCAAGGAAGGCGTGTTTGCTGATAAAACTTTCTGATGATTTTAAAATTTATACTGAAGGTGCGATAAGTCAGCGCTCTTTCTTCTCAAATAATATTTAACGGTCCGTCAAATTTGGGGCGTTAATATTACAAGAAGAAGGCTCGCTAGTGTGGCACGCCTTCACTATTAATATAAACAAAGTTATGACAAACTTATATATTGTAGTAGTCCTGCATTTCACGTCATTTAAGTCGGGCCTTCTTAAATATCACTACTCCCTCCGTTTTCAATTTATGTGAACCTGTTTAGCTGGGTACATAGTTTAAGAAAAAATGAAAACTTTTGAAATTCGTGGTCCTAAACAAGTCAAAAAGGGGCCCAGAGTATTTGTATGGTTATAAATGCTTCTCATTAAGGGTAGAATTATAAGTTTAAACTAAATTATTTCCAAATTTAGAAAGGGGTCATTCTTTGTGGAACGGACCAAAAAAGAAATAGATTCACATAAACTGGAACCGAGTGAGTACTAGATTTGGGTATCCGCACTTCCCCCGAAACTTCAGGGATGTAACTTGAAACTCCAAGGATTATTTTTAAAAGACATTATCGGAGAGTGGTACGTTACATCTAGGAATTTTTACATTCCTATACACTATATGAAACTATATTACCCTCCCTACTCAAGTTTTACTATAATTATATTTTATATACCCAATTACCATTTATGTACATTTTAAGGAAATTAATGATAATAATTAGTGTCCTAAAATTACTCTAACATATCTTCCACTCCCCCACGTTTCTCTCTCCACATCCCCCCCTCCCCCCCACGTATCTTGTACAAGAGAGCAACAATTCCACCATTGACAACCATTAAAAAGCTTTGAAGCTTTGAATTCGAATTTGGGTTTTCAAAAAACATTGTTTGTTTGAATTGGATGTTGTTGCAAAGAATTGAGAATTCTCTCTACGTCTCTCTCTATCTCTCAATCCCAAATTTCAGTAATGTAAAGCAAAGGAAAAGAGAGCAGCAATTCCATCATTGACAGCCATTAAAAAGCTTTGAAGCTTTGAATTCGAATTTGGGTTTTCAAAAATCATTATTTGTTTGAATTGGGTGTTGTTGCAAATAATTGGGAAAATGACTTGGAGTTTATATCTCAATTTTGAGGGGTTTTGGTGAAGATTAGACTTGGTTTTGGCTGAATTTCAGATTGAAACAAGAAGAAGAAGAAGACATGACATACATTATACTGCAGAAATTGTAGTAAAATTATAGAAAAATTGTAGAAAATTTGTATTCTGTTGTTTATATATTTTCTTTTATTCATTTAACTATTGTATGAAAGTTGAACAACATTGTATAAAAATTATATTTAAGTTGTATGATATTGTGGTTGTATATAACTGAGTAGAAATAATGTATGAAAATTGTAGATAAGTTGTATAATATATAATTAGTTGTATGAAATTTGTTTTTACTATGTATAAATTAAATACAAAATATACAAAAGACATATTGTATAAAATTTGTATTTAAGTTGTATGTTATTGTAGTTGTATTTAACTGGGTAGAAATAATATGTGAAAGTTGTAGATAAATTGTATAATACTATATAATTAGTTGTATGAAATTTATTTTTACTATGTATAAATTAGATACAAAATATACAAAAGACATAGTGTATAAAATTTGTAAAAAAATTGTTTTTTAAGTGGTATGATATTGTAATTGTATATAACTTGATATAAATAATGTATGAAAGTTGTAGATAAGTTTCGGTGCCGCATTCTCTAAATAGAACTTTTCTCATCTCCTCACGAAAAAAGCATTACTGCTTAGAAGAACTGTGGTAACTCCTTTAGGCAAAGGTGGCAGTTCAGAATCCAAATGATTTTTCCTTAAATCCAATAAAAGCAAATTACACAAGGTAGTTAAATCTGGTAATTTATTAGAAATCACATTGTGTGACAGAACAATGTCAGTGAGGGTTGTAATTTTAGACACTGAAATTGGAAACTGACCCTTCAATCTATTATTCTTCAAGCTTAAAATAGTAAGATTGGTTAACGAATCAAACCAATCAGGAACAGTATCATTGAAAAAATTGCTATCAAATGTTAAAGTATGAAGCTTTATCAATCTTGACATCTGAAAAGGAATAGAACCAAAGAGAAAATTTGAACTCATATCCAAAAGTTCAAGTGAAGATAACCTATGTATTTTATCAGGTAGGGGTCCCCAACTACCAAGAGAAACTAAAGTAAGAACCTTTAAACTATTTAACCTTGTCAATGTTGTAACAAAAAAATCAATTGAAAAACCCTGAGATAATGTTTGATTTGGAACATCAAATCCATAAAATTGAAGTCAAGCTGCAAAAATCTCCATTGTAATTCTCCCAAACATCAAGCTGAATTAGATATTCTAAGGGTTTTCTCAACTGAAGTAAAGCTTGAGTTTCATAAGACCGTGCACTTCCAAAGACGTGAAGTTTCCCCGGAAGCAAAGAAAAACAACGGTTTGCTGGAGAGAAGAGGGGAGAGAGGAGAGAAAGAAGGAAATGGTGTAACTAAATCCCTTGATTGAAGCCACAAATAATGGATTGGGAGCCTTTTAAGGTGAATTGTATATATTTGGTAAACAAAACTTATTTATGTCAGGTAATTAGCTAAACATAAACATTAAGGGTAATAAAGTTTCAAATAGTGTATATGTATGAAAAAATTCCTTACATCTATGCCAATTCTATCTTAAATAAGCTGGGCCAACCAAAATTCCACAATGGTCCAACCCAATATGAGTAACGTTTTATAGGGGCAAAGTGCACAAACAGCCACTTTTAATTCTACTATTTGAAATATCCACTATTATTATATATTTAAAGATTACTCAATTTACCCATACTTCAAGATTAAGTATTTTAAATTTTTGAGCTGCTAATTTTGAAATTCAGAATTTATTGTCCTAAATTTGTGAATTGCTTACTTGAAATTCAAGACCAAATATCCAAAATTTCTGAACTGCTAATTTAAAATTCAAAATATAAGATTCCAATTTTTCAACATAATATTTGACTTTAGAATATCGTGTCCTTGAGTTTAAGCCTATTGATTACTTTTTAAATACATTATAACCGTAAATATATTATAAACAATATATTTAAAAGTGACTCATTTCCACGTTTTAGCCACCTCTTCCATTCGAAAAGGGTTTATAGATGCATTGGTGATAGTTTCGATCTGCCGCAAGCAAAAACCCTAGTAGCAGCACAGTAAGCGAAGGGGAAGAAACAGAGCACAACTATGGCGGCGGAAGGAAGAACACTGTCGACAAAAGAAGCCGACATACAGATGATGTTGGCTGCCGAAGTCCATCTCGGAACTAAGAATTGTGACTTCCAAATGGAACGTTACGTCTTCAAGCGCCGCAACGACGGCATGTTACTACTTGTCTCATTTCTTTCAATGTGTGCTTATTCTGATGAACTTTTATCGCAATATTGGATTTCGATCAATCAAACATAGTCTCTAAATTAATTCGTTAGTCAAATCTATATTCGATTTTTTTTAATGATGGTGGTGCAGTTAGACTATCCCAACAGGTTGTCTTTGCTAGAATTTGAACGTGAGACCTCGTGCATTGAATAAAAAGAAGCATCTTTAAATTGCTAAAAATAGGTCCAATATGCGCAGGTTGTATTAGCTTTCTCTATCTGTAACTGCTGGTTACTCTACTAGATCTTTTTTCTGATTTTTCATGTCTAAAGATGATACATATAACTTACTTAGTTTACATAGAATCATTTATTTCATAGTGATAGTTTTACCTGCAATGTTTCATCGTCCATTTTTGACTACTTCCACAAAATATATCTTCGGTCTGGCTTTTGCTTGGTCTAATTTTCAAGTGCTACTCTTTGCTTATCTTGGCCTATCTATTTATATTCTTAGGTATCTACATCATTAACCTCGGAAAGACATGGGAAAAGCTTCAAATGGCTGCTAGGGTAATTGTTGCTATTGAGAATCCTAAGGACATAATTGTGCAATCTGCCAGGCCGTATGGGCAGAGAGCTGTCTTGAAGTTTGCGCAATATACTGGTGCAAATGCAATTGCTGGACGCCATACCCCTGGAACTTTTACCAACCAGCTTCAGACCTCATACAGTGAGCCAAGACTCCTGATTCTCACTGATCCAAGAACCGATCATCAGGTTTTTACATATTTTCCTGATACTCATCATCTATTTTTTAAGCCTTCCAATGATTTATAACATGTTTGAATACTTTGCAGCCAATCAAAGAGGCTGCGCTTGGGAACATCCCAACTATTGCTTTCTGTGACACTGACTCTCCAATGCGCTATGTTGACATTGGTATCCCTGCTAATAACAAAGGAAAGCATAGTATTGGTGTTCTTTTCTGGCTCTTAGCGAGGATGGTACTGCAGATGCGTGGTTCCATTAATCAAGGACATAAATGGGATGTCATGGTATAGACTATATCTTTAAGCTCTAGTTCCATCTTTTTCATTTTGCCGTGGTTGGTTTTAATGCTCCTCTCGAGTTTAATTAACAGCTTAATGCTCCATTTGCAATCGGTACAACTGAAATTTAATCATAAATTCTCACTTTTTTTTGCTGTGAACATCGATTTTTCATTTGCATGTGGTAATTTCCATTGTTGCAGGTCGATCTCTTCTTTTACAGAGAGCCTGAAGAGGCTAAGGAGCAACAAGAGGAGGAAGCCCCTGCAATCGATTATGCAGACTACTCTGCTGGTGCTGCCCTTGGTGGTGACTGGTCTAGTAGCCAAATCCCCGAGGCCCAGTGGACTGGAGATGCTGCACCTTCTGGTCCAGTAGTTGCTAGTGGTTGGTCTGGTGAAGGAGGTTAGTTTGTTATACTGTTTCATGAAACTAGTTCTGGATATCGACACATGACAGAGCAACTGCCAAACTAGTCACTCTATATCGTTCTTTTATCTCCCTTTGTATATCACTAAGGTTATTGTCATATTTTCTGCTAAGAAGTTTGATCCTATTTGGAAGCTCTAAGATTGTCTTAGCGGATGGTGGTTTGCTCGTCTCTTCTGGACTGATGATTTCGAGTTTTTTTTTTTGTCTATTGTGTAGCCAAAATTTGGCGGCACTAATAACTTTACTTTCTTTTTTTCTTGGATGAACTGCAGTGGCTGAGGGAGGAGGCTGGGACACTGCAGCTGCACCTGTTCCAGTTCCTGTGCCAGATGCCGCCCCTACTGCTGGCGCCACAGGCTGGGAATGACCCTGTTTCCTATAGGAAGCTCTTCTTCTGTTCTGGATAAAGAGTAGACATTGTGAGTTCTACAAAAATAGTTTTGTTCATAGCACAGTTAAAGGATTTTCTGTGGATGTACTCAATTATTTAATCATTGCTAGCACGGCTTTTTGGAGAATTTCAAAGTGGTTTTGTTATCAAGAGGTGGAAACTGTCAAATTTGGTTGCTGTTTGGAAAATTTTCAACGCCGATCGGAATTATTACTGCATTATTCCAAAATGGATAACCAAATTCTCCTTAGGAGGGTTTCTTTGATCTCGGACGTTTATTTTTTAAATTTGGAAATTAGAGTTGTGGGTTCCATAACTGCATGAGAAGCATACTACATTTCACTAAAAGAATGAGAAAAGAGCACAACAAAGAGTGTTAGTGCTTATAAGAAACTTGGTCAAGCAAAATGTAAGTCAAGGAGTTAAACGACTTATTATTCTTTATAGCTATGAATTATGATTGTCTTTTTGGTATTTATTATACAAACTATGCAGGTGTAGACTTTTGAGTCTGTTAACTGCTGGTTGTAGTAATTGACCTTTTGATGGTTGAGTGCCCTTTGGGCTTGTTAACTTGAGCACTGTAATCCAACTTTTCAAATCTCTGTTCTAAGGGATATTTGGTCTTACCAAAGCAATGAGTTAGTTCAATTCACGGAACCCAGTTAGGAAACTGATATTATTAATGGTATTAAGAAAAGAATAATTTTGAGTACTACCCCATGTTCTTTCCCTGTTATCAATATTTTTTTCTTCATTTTGTAATTTTCCAACTTTCATTATGTGTAAAAGATCCATGCTTTTCTTTTCATGTAATACAGATTTTAAATGGAAAAAGATAGTCGAGAAATGTCCAAAATAACCAGAATAATCAGTTTAAAAATGGAACTTGCATTTAGGTTGCAAAAGGTCATTGGCTGCAAAGGAGTTGAATTTCACCATTTTCCTCGTCTTGTTCTACTTCTTCTTGTCTTCTCAAATTCTTTTGTACTTGGATTCAAGCTTTATTTCTTGGCATCTCGTGAATTTCTCTTTTAACTCTTTTTAGTTCTCTTATTTCGTTATCGAAAATTAATTTTCGTTTTCTCTTTCATAGGCAGGAGCCAAATTTTTTAATCAGGAATCGCTTTAATCACAGAAGTTAAACATTGAGGATGTAATAGACAAAGAAAATAACATAAATAGTCTCTGAAGTATGACGCTTACATTTGTTTTATAGTTTTCAAAAACTGAATTTGCAAGCAGAATTGTTGACAGTTTTTTGAAAAATAAATAAATTTCAGCTTCTGAATTTCAATAAATCGAATCAAGTGATTTTCTGTGATGACAACATCTCTCAATTTAACAGCAACCCGATGAAAAAATGACCAAAATAATCACTTGAGTTTATACAATCAACGTAGAGCTATTTTTCTTCTTACATCTCCATAACTAACGAACAAAGCTTGTTTAGTCCTTGAACTGAACCTGATGGGCTTCATAACTCAAGCTGCTCTTCCTCATGGCAACTAAAGATGAACCATCGGACGACGACTCAAAGCACGAAGACTTATATTTAATTTGTTCCTTTACATGGTTGCCAGTTTACAGCACCTGTGTGACTGAAACGTGTGCAAAAATGTGTTTGCATAAACGTTAAAGCACAAATGAAACAGCCATTAATCGATAACAAGATACACTGGGGACTTGCCTTATTAAACAAACTGCATTGGTGAAGCTGCAAATTTACAATATTCCTTTTTTCACTGTTGTCCCCTCATTCTCTCAACTAAATTTCTCCCCTTCTCTTCTATGTGACGTGCCCTCTCTTCAAGTTTCTCCCCCATTTTTTTCCCCAAACCAAGCATCCTAGCCCTTCTCCCTATTCTTGTAGACTTTGTATCATCTTCTCCAGTAATTTGATTTTTTTCTTCAAGTAGTACCAGTTGTCGAGAAGGTGACTTGCATTCTATGTTCTCCTCTGTGCTCCTGAGGTGACCCACTTGCTGTTCCTCATGCTTCATTAACGGGGCTTTCAGTTCTTCTGAATCCTGGTTACTTGTACTAGGCTGCGCTATAGGAACTGATAAGGATGCACGTGGATCCAATGACTTGCTTTGCAATGCAGACCATCCAACTTTTCTTGGCTTTTCTTGTTTGCCTTCGGCATTGCTAGTGGTACTTCCTGTATCTGGACTAAGCGTAGGAACTGATAATAATGCCTGTGGATCCAATGACTTGCTTTGTTGATTAGCCCATCCTGTTCTTCCTGGATTTTCACTTTTGCTTTCAGCATTACCACTGGTGCCTCCCCTATCAACTTCAGTGAATCGTGTTGCATCCCCAGGTTGGGAGCTGGGTGCTTCTTGTCTGTTGGCATTATTACCTGCAGTTTCTCGATTAATCCATATAAATGGAGCAACTTGTCGGGGGACCCAGTCATCCTTTTCCGCCAACATGCAGGGGATGCATACACTTTCACAGTTTGGAAGTACCAGTGTTTCACGAATAGCAACCTGCATTAGTTATGATAGCATCAGCTAACCTTCTGAAGGAAATTTCACCCGTGTTTTGAGATCAGCACTAGGAGTATTACGTACCATTTTAGCAAAGAGAACAATATAATTGAAAACATTGCATACACTGCTCTGTTGAATTTAAAGTAGATCGAATTCATAGGTGATTGAGAACGAAGCAAGTAAAAATGTTTAAATAACAACTTACCAAAGAGAAATGATCTAACCACAAACTAGTTACGCTGGCTTAGTGTATCCAGCTTACGCATTTCGTGTTGAAGATTATAACCTGCCATCAATCTTTATCTTCTTGAATGAATGTCAGCAACTGAATCACTCCTGTCCCTCTACTCTCTGGATCTTAAACGACCTTTCTTCTACAGTTTCTGACTAGACTCTACTTATTCTGAGACCGATTTTGAAATACAGAAATTTCAGCAGACAATGTCTTTGGGGTCACATCGACTATGGAAGCTACAACTACACAACACTAACGGAAACAGGAAGGAATACGGTAACATATGGGAAGTAGCACCTAGGCTCTTATGTGGAAAGGTTTGAAGAAGTGGAAGATACTCTCTTCCATATTCAGTGCATTTTTCCGCTTTTTGTATATTTTTGGATTCATATGAAATATCCATTTTTAAAACTGGCTATATTTTCGTGGGAAGGGACTCTTTGTATATAGTTAGGATTTGACATGGAATCTATAATCAATCAACCATTATATCTTTTCATATGATGATTGCTAAGTACTTTTTTCCAGTACTATCTATTTCCAAGACTTCCTCAAATCTTTTTGATTAAGAAGACTTTCTCAATATTCTAGAAATTTTAGTTCTATTGAAGACGCAATTAAGTAAATAAAAGTGTGTTCTCTCTAACAGCTTAAGCTTAAGCTTTTAGATGAGATGGTCATACACTTCAACATGGTAGCAGAGCAGGCAAAGGTTCTGGGTTCGAGTGTCACCGCCACCCGATATAAAAAAGAATGTCCACGTGCTTGGCTCATAAAAAAGAATCAAGCCCGCACGTGAGAGAGCGTATTGAAGACGTAATTAAGTAAAATAAAAGTGTGTTTTCTCTCAAATAGCTTAAGCTTTAGATGAGATGGTCACACTTCAACAAGTTCCACAAGTTACCTTGCAATCTGTTGACCCACTAATATTACTCTTTCGCTAATGATCCCAGAAACCTTGACCAGCTGAAAATGGATTTAAAGCTAGCGAAGTGTTGTAACTATTAAGGTAATGGACTTCAATCTTAATCACCCCATAATTGGTTTTTAATCATGCTAGGTCAACGGAAAGGGGTTAAATGAGAAGAAGAGATGCATAGACACATAATCAATTTGTAGCACAGATAACTTCTCAATCTGACCTTAAATCGATTGATCAGGAACGAAGAAAGATGCGCGCTTGAGATCTTATGCTCCCCAACAAAAGAGTCCAAATGGAAATCTATATCGGGCATTGATGTGAATCCGAACCATATTTGATCTGAAGGTGGCGGCTTTATGTATAGCCTCATAGTTCCTTGAATGGATGCAACCCTAATCCCCAGTGAGAGTGAAACCTGGAGAGTTTAAAGATTCAATGTTTAGAATGCAAAAGAGCTTCTTCAGCAATTCGTTATAGTACAAGAAGTACAAGAAATAATATATTCAGAAACCAATATTACTAATTTAGTATAGTGCACATTTTGATTGAGTTCACAAAATCTACATGTTAACCTATGTTTATGGAACCAAAAGAATATTAATAATACTGGAATCAATCTCCTTTTCTGTGATCACCCCTTAAACCAGTCAGTGCAATGCTCAAACATGCTCCACTGTAAAGAAATAAATTGCTGACACAGAATGGTTCAGATTTAAGGATTTGATGAGGAAATGGTCTCCTATGGCCACTTACAATTTGAATAGAAGAAAATGACCTTGTCAGATCTCTTGTGCGTAAAAATGAAGATCTCTTGTAAAAAAGATATAAAACAATCAAAACAAATTTGTGAAGGACTACAAAACCAATTAACCCGGATTTAATATAGTTGGCCGTGACAGTGTAGTGATTTTGTCCCTCCCCGTTTTCTTTCCCTCCAAAAACCGAAAAGCGGGAATTAATTACTAATTGATGGAGTCGACCCTAAAATAGTTCGACAAAACAAGATGTTGCAGAAATATGATTTTAACCCGTCACCTCAATGTAATGAGCCTTGCGAGCTATCAAACTCTCTACCGTGTACCGAAGATAAGAACTGAAATAACTAATAGATAAACAAGGAATAAATGTGCCCCTCCACCCTATCTATATTCTATACATATAGAATAGCCCATTGTAACAAATAAAGGAATTGATACCAACCTGTGAAACCTGTTTGGCAACAGAATTAAAGATGGACTTCCACCTAGACACTTGAGGTGACTCACTTGGAATGATATTCGAGCTTCTCATCCCATCTGAAAATTCACCTGATTAATGCACCTCAATTACTATCTAATACAAACAATTCTACTTTTAAAATAGTGGACTATTCCCCTATAGATAACTATACAAATAACCATCAAGTATGCCTAACCAAATTAACATATTATGATTGGAAATTCCAAATATTATAGATCATAAAAAAAAAAATAGTACCTTCGTTGGTTTGGTCAATCTTATTAACATTCTCTTCAGAATGTTTTCCTTTTCCACACTGCTCAAATCCTTCTAGTAAATCTGGTTTGGCATCATGACTGGCAGCGGAATCTACATCTGATTCGTCCCCTTCAGGAAAATCAAGGTCCTGAACTGCAACCCTTGTCTCGACATCCAAGATTGCACCACCAGAATACTGAAGATCAATTTCGAAGGCCCAAAACTCATTCATGTCTGAGGGAAGAACCCTCATTGCACGTATGTAGGGAGGAAGGTTACCAATATTAACGGCAGTACAGGTCACTTCACCTATGTAACTGGGAATTCGTATATCGGACAGCGTTCTCTACAAGTAAGAGCACACAGAATCATAGCTCAGTTAGATAAAGCAAATGTCCTTTTAATTTACTATGACAATGGAACATAAAATGTCAGAATAAAACATACAAGCCTACGAAGCTTCAAATAAAGCATTAAAACAATTTCCTCCCATGATAACTTGAGTAGAAGAGAAGAAAATATCAACCATTCCAGACACAACTTTCTAAAACAGAAAGATTGTATTATAAGGAATCAAATTCAGTTTTTACTCAAACACTTCCTGCTGACAAAACTCAATTGCCAATTTTCCAGCAACACAACTAATTACAAAAAGATGTTTATATGCTTGAAAACAATGGTGTAGCGCCGTAGCCAGGAATTCCGCCAGGGTGTTCCAACTTTAAACAGGTCAATACTATTTTTTGTCAGATGAATGGTGTACTAAATTTTTTAAATCAAACTATGCAATATTTAGCTAAACAATAAAAAAAACTTTTAATAGAACTATAGGTTTATAAATCAAAATTAAAATAACAAAAAGACAACATTAGAAATTTTACTAATAAAAGTAAACATAAAACTAAAGGAAAGAGAGAGTCGAGAGGATTTGTAGTTTGTCGAGAGCTTTTGTTAAGGAAATTATTGTATAGCTTGACTTTTAAACTATAAAATTTATTTAAGAAATAAATTTTAGTTAAAATATTACTTTTAAGAATAGTTGTTTATTTCTACACAAATTTTAAGTTTTAAGAGTTTGCACCAAAAAAAAAAAAAAAGTTTTAAGAGTTATATTAGGAAATTTTTTAGATTCAAAAATCAAATAGACCATACATGGTGGCCTCCGTTTAGTTTTGGCACTTTGAACCGTTGGATTCCCTCACTCAACTGTGTTAAGTGTGTTCAAAATATAATAAATAATCATATAAAGTAGTTTTTAACTTATATATGCGTGAGAATGCATGTAGGAAAATCTACTTTTTTTTTTAACAATGATACAATGAGCCCTATATATAATACATATTCTACTCCTACTATATATGGGACTAGGACATATTCTATTCCTACTACATATAGGACTAGGACTATTTACACATAACTATTTAACACTCCCCCTCAAGCCGGTGCATACAAATCATATATACCGAGCTTGTTACATATGTAACTAATACGAGGACCAGTGAGCGACATGGTGAAAATATCTGCAAGCTGATCATTCGCCATACAAGGCCACTCTCCCTGAGCAACAAAACCAAGTGGTTGCTGATAAGCAAAAGTTGGCCAAAAGGTCGCCGGAAAAAATTGAAAATAGTGAGACTAAACCGAATTTCACACTACAAAATACGTTCTAAAACACCACTAGAAAATAGAACTTTTCTGAAAATTACTGTTCACACCGGGAATCACTATTTACGCCGGAAAAAGTACATTGTTTACGCCGGAAAAAATAAAGTTGTCAGAATTTGATGTAATTTATATGGGTAGGCTCGGAATAACTGGATGAGTAAGTTGTCCTGAAAAAGTTCTGTCAAAAAGTGATCGGAATGGCTCACATGCATCGGAAAAGTTACTGTAGCTCGCCGGAACCCTAGTTCTGGTGGCGCGTGGCCGTGGAGGCGCGTAACTTTCTGCCGGACCAATTGACTGGGGTTTTGTTGCCTGCTTTTTTGAACAAGATGGCAGTGTTGGTGTTTGCAAAACACTTACCAATGAGGAGATAATGCAAATCAATCTTGAGTCGTCAACCGGAAAGACTTTTCTGTTCAGATGGGACTGGAATTTCTGGGGTTTGGTCGCACAAGGGTTTCAGATCTGGTGGTGGTACTGGTATATGCGCAGTACCACTGTAGCAGTGATGAACCCTGGGAACAAGACGAAGTTGCCGGAAAATTGCACGGCGACGAGATCTTTCTTCCCGGATGTCGTTGGAGTGACGCATAGCGATACTTTTCTCACTGAAGCTCTGATACCATGTGAGAATGCACGGGAGAAAAATCTATATTTTTTAACAATGATACAATAAGCCCTATATATAATACATATTCTACTCCTACTACATATTGGACTAGGACATACATATTCTACTCCTACTACATATGGGACATATAGGACTAGAACTATTTACACATAACTATCTAACAATATGCAATACAAAATTTTCGGCGAAGGGGGTGCGCTTGACTACCCTTGGCATAGGGTGGCAACGCCACTGCTTGAAAAGCAATACTTAGTAAATTATGACGCCAGTAAACCTAAAGCTTAAACCAAGATACATACATCTCCTAATGGAAAGGCAAAGGAGATCACAAACCTGAATCCTGGCTTGCAAAGAGGTTCTCATCTGGTCATTTCTTTTGGCATCAAAAAACAAACGGGATATTAACAAATTCCAACAAAGGGTTCCTTCATCACCGAAAACCCTGTCATCAGAATCTGCATCAGAAGTAACAGATATTTGACTCCGGCTTCCTGATCCAGTAGAAGGCACTACAACATCCTTAGTAGAAAAATCAAGAGGCTTGCGTGTTGGAGCCGATTTAACACCACCACCAGCAAAAGCAAGGTCTTGGAAGGAATGAACTCTCTCACTTATCTTCCTTTCTTCATGGTCTGATGTTGAAATGAAGGTTCCCTTATTTTCCGGAGCACTCTTAGAAGCTTTCTTGCCAAGCTTTTTCAAAAATTGCCGAACTTTTGATGAGGAACCATCAAACTTACTTGATTTATCACCTAAATCAACACCAATGCTTGAATGTGGTTTCATAAATGAAGGATATCCTGCATTTAATGACATCAGGTAATTTTGAAACTCTATGTTCAACTTGGCAAACCACTTTAGTTTTTCTTTGTCCTCGCAGGATGCAAGACGAAGGGATTTGCACCATGCTTCCTTCTCCCAGCATGTCTCAAGATAAATGTAAAGTATTCTACTTCCTTCATATAAAGTTGATGCTCTGCTCTCTATTTTAATAGGATATCTTTTTGCCCTGTAAAATTGTACCAGATAACACCAATTGAAGCTGTAAGTTATTGTTATTAAATCTTGCATATTTGTCAATGAGATAATTAGACAAACCACTAACTTAACTGGATGCTAAAATCAACTTTAGAAAAAGATAGGAGATTAACTTCATCATAAAAAGTATACAGTATTACCTGCTCTAATGAAGTTAAATTTTTTCTTAATTGATAACACCTCACATTGTGGGTTTTTGTACTCCAATCTTTCACAAACCACTTGAGAGAAAACGGAGCATTTCAATTATCCATGAATATATTTCATCAAAAAATTGTATATGACTATATATTAAGGTCACTTATTTGTAGAAAATAACTTATTTCTCACATTTTTTGATAAATTCCACCTGGTATTTTGTTCTTTATTTTTCCTTCCAATGACTTCTTAAAGCACACTAAGAAAATTGTTTTCCTTTATAAAGTGCTGCTATAGAATGTGTTTTACCTGTTAGTAACTTATTTTTCACATGTTCTCTTTTACTGTGGGGAAGTGGTAACACCATTTTCAATTGCATTTTTTATGGATAAGGAACTCCATTTTCAATTATAGCCAAACTGATTAAATATCACATGATACTTTTACCTATTACAATTTACAACTACTTTTCACATTGGGTACCAGTATTATCTATATTTTCTTTTTGTAAACCAAAATTGAATGTAAGTCTTTCCTTTTTTCCAAGCTCTTCAGAAATAATGTCCAGTTTAGTAATAAGAAAGTCTTATCATAAATATTATATTATACAAAAAACTTAACTAGTTTTTTCAGAAGACAGAGGGAGCAAAAAGCGAGCTATCAACCATGAAAGATAACGATTATAATAATATCTCAAAAATAGCACCAAGTCAAATCAGGATATGCAGGGTTTTCACTCAGTTTTTACGCCCAAAAAGAAAGAGCGGGACATGCTCATGTATTACAAGTCACATCTAAATCCTAGACGAAATGTAAGAAGGCAAAAGGAAGTACAGAAAGTTGCAAAGCATTTCGCCATTATGTAGCTTTTCGCTCCAAAGTGAGAGTCAAATAACAAAACAAACAACAACAACCCAGTGAAATCCCACTAGTGGGGTCTGGGGAGGGTAGTGTGTACGCAGACCTTACCCCTACCCCGAGGGGAAGAGAGGCGGTTTTCGATAGACCCTCGGCTCAAGAAGACGAAAAGAGGCAATATATCAGTACCATCAATAAAAACCATAGAAAAAATAACAACATCACAAGAACCAAAAAATAGATGAAAAGCAAAATAATAACCTGTAGATAAAGCCCGGCACTAAGAGAAACGAAAGAGTGGTGTGAACTCAACAATAACCACTAGCAGTCTAAGACTAAACCCTAACAGACTAGCCTCACTCTGGAGCGCCGTAGAAAAAGTGAGAGTCAAATAGCTTCTTTATAAATTGAACAAGCTCCAAATTTCGAGGTAATCACAACAGACGAACTAACAATCTAATTGACATCCGCCAATCTATGGTGAATACGACAACACCTAGCACATAAAGTGAAAGTTAATATGCTCTCATGGTCAACCACTTATTTTGAAACAGATTCAATATTGTCCAAAAAAAACTTGATTCTCCAATTTTGATCAGGAGAGGAGTAGGTCAAGCTCACCCAGAAGTTAGAAGACTAGTTTCTTGCAGCCCAAAATATTAGGGAAGCAAATTGGATTCACTCTGCAATTGTTCTGCATAAATTTCTCCTGGGACATTACCAAATTATACACAGAAGTTCGTGCATTAAACAAATGAAAGCAGCCTACAGTCAGATGAATCACCGATATTCAAGTAAGAGCAATAACAATCAGTATTGTAAGAAGTCAGGGATGACGCAAGATTCAGTTGAATGGAGCTTAAAAGGTGCGTGGAGAAAAGCAAGTGTTAAAATGCTAACCCATTTCTTTCTACCACAAGCATCAAAATTCAACCTTGAGTCTTCGTCACCTGGAAACCTCAATTCCATTTGCCATCTTCTCAAATAGCAAGGTAGCTAGATTATACCACATTCGTAACATAAGATATTATACCTCCTTAAACCAGCCAACCAATAAATATGTCATGTAACACCAATTTGCAGAGCAAAATATGGTGTATGATATCTCCAGTGATACTTATGCAGAAAATTTAAAATGAATAAAAAAGAAACATTACCCACAAATAGGAACAGTAGACCTAATTATGGATGCATCAAGCCATCAACCCAATAAAAGAGAAAGGCGGAGAGAGATAGAGCTGCCACTGGAACATTTCTTATGGTGCATAATGCAAGTCTGACATCCATCTTCAACCTAACTCAATGAAACCTAAGATTTTGCTAGGAAAAGGGAAGTCTATTATGGGCAAAAAGAGAGGTCTGCTTACATTTGCCTACGCGGCAAGAATTTACCAATCAACTTCTTGACGCTAGAGAAAAAGGGTACTTGGTTTTCTATCTTCTGTATGCTATTTCTAATAAAATTCTTAGCTTTATTATTAAATAAACTCTGCAGTTGTCTGAAAATCTCACAACCAGGATTTGAACTTCAAATACTATAATAATTTTTTATTCTTTTACTAAATCCAGCACCAAATGTTAAGAACCCGAATTCACAAGACAAAGCAAACGAGGGAAATGATAGGTTTAATTCATAAACTGAACGAGTCAATCATTACAATAACAGAAACTAGAACTAAGAAGGAGATTAAGAGAAGAAGGATTGAGAGAGCAGAGATAGTCCAGAGGAAGAAGGGAGACGAGAGGGGAACAGAGTTCTTTAACAATACGCATAATCCCAAAATCACCGACCGCTGCTCTTTTTAATAGAATTGTTCTTGGGATCATTACTCAACCCGGATCCCAAATTAGCATGGCCCTATTGTTTGTTCTCGGCCCAATAGCTCTTCTCAGCCCAATAGCTATTTGTGTGTTGACATCCTTATTGGACTGGAGTTGATTCATAACACCAAATGACCAACCTACTTTCATCCAATGATGCTACAGAGATACATGTAGGCGCGCGCGCGCACACACACACACATATATATATATATGTGTGTGTGTGTGTGCGCGCGCACATCAACTTCCAACTACCATACTATTTCAAGCTCAGACAAAGAAGAATCTTTTGGTTCACCTTTATGTCTACTCTTGCTTTTGGTTCATCTTTTGTGCTTTTGGCACACAGTATCAGAACATAGCACATAATTCAACTACTTCTGCATACTTCTATAAAAGAATTTTTAGCTTACTCATTTTGAAATAAAATCTGCAGATGCCCAAAAAAACTCCCAACCAGAAGTTGCAATTCAGATACCGTAAATCCAAAAGGTTTTAGTTTAGCTAAACCCAGCAGCAAATACAAACCCACTTCCACTCTATGAAACTACCAAAATACATGTAGGCACATATGTGTGCTCTTCAGCTTTCAACAATCATATTAACTCAGACTCAGACTACAAAGAATGCTTTGGGCTCATTTTTATGTCCACCCTAGCTTTCATGCAGGCAGAATCACAGAGAAAAGACATAGCCTATATCTCATTACAGCTAGAGACTAGGGAGCTCTTCCAGATCTGAGCCTTCAATACTAAGTTAAGTACTATATTCTCAAAATTGCTAGAAGAGGAATAGGAGCGTAAGATAAATCTTGGCAATGTTGGGTGGCAGTCCAGCTTAAAAACACTTCAAAAGATAATAGTACTCCCAATATTACCATTTTCTAGAGGACAAGCTTGAAGCAGAAACAGCTGCTATAATGCAACCTTTGAGTAAAATTTCTACATGGGAACCATCTGACTCTGTTAGGACGAGATAATGATCCTTGATTTGGGCAAATTTCTGAGTAGGTGTAACCTCTAAGATCTCTTTCTTGGCCTTTTGCTGCTTCAAAGTTTTATCCACAGGAAAAGCCTTTGGTATTCTTTCAGATTCTAGAATCCAGACTATCCCCTGGAAAACAGAACAGAAGCACAATACAATAAGTTGAAACAGATCGAGTCCATTTGGGAAAATGTGAAAGGTTCCTGAATAGATAAACAAAACTCAAATCTTACAGCACAACGTCAGCTTGTGAGCAATTATCAGTTTATCCCGGAAAACACATATCTCAGAACAAAATTGTGAAATAGAAACATTTTGATCAAGATATTATAAAATAACAAAACTGTGACGAAGAAATATCTTCTTAAAGTAAGAATAATATCCTAAACAGTCTGAAAAAGAAACTTACTTCAAAATTATACCTTGAGCTTGAATATAACAGCAGATCTAAACTGATAAGCTCTCTAGCACATCCTATCATGTTTCGCCAATGGAAATAATGATGTGATCTCTTCCCATTTTCTAGTAGAAAAAGAGGCTTGATGACCAGTGAGAAATTGATATCACTTGTAGGCTAAGTTGCTCGGACACGGGTGCGGGTGTCCGACACGGGTGTGGATCTAGAGGTCGGATCCTTTGAAATGTAAATTCTAAGATTCGGGGATATGGATCCTAGTACGGATACGGGTGCGGGGATCCGGCTAAAAATAATTCAAAAAAAAAATTATATATATACCTTCAAAAAAAAAAAAAAATCATGAGAAATTTTGTGGAATACTGGTGTATAGCTTGTAAAATGTGAATTTCTTTTTTATTCTCAAGTTGTAGATAAGTAAAGGATTAATTTTCTAGATAAAGTACGCTATTTTCTTCAAATTTACCCTAGTTTTGGTTCTGATTACGGAAATCAAATTGTATTTCGTCTCGAATTTTTCCGTCCGTCGTGTTCAAAGTACCCAAAATCGTTTGACCAGATCCGTACGGATCCCATACCCACACCTATACTAGTGTCGTGTCGACACGGGTGCGGCCCTTAAACTGCCCTGTCGGAGCAACTTAGCTTGTAAGACAACTATTATATTGTCTGAAGTATCCTAAGATGTAATTTTCTACTAGAAGCCTTTTTCAGTAATAGAACATTTAAATCCTCTCAGAGAACATCTTTTTTCCTTCTCTTCTGGGAAGGGGGAGATGACGGAATGCTATTTGTTATCCAAGTTTACAAATAATATTAGCCGTTAACAATAATCTTCTAATTAAGAAAGGCCATAAAGCTGAAAACTTGGCCTTCCTGGGCCTGGTGGGTTGATCTCGAAGAATATTTTTGGAATATGGTCTCAGGAAGCACTTCTGGTGTTAAAGAACCTAAATTATTGGATATTGAATTGAGATGGGTCTAAAAAGAGAATGACTAGTGAGGATTTATATAGCAACCCCATTAGCTCGGAATTGAGGCGTAGTTGCGTTGATGATGTTCTCAAGAAGCACAAGAATCCACTTCTAAGTTTCAGTTGTACAATGATGGGATGGTTTTCACCAGATAAGTGTTTGACAATGAGAGTTCAGGCAATTCCGACCAGTACCGATCCCTGATCATTCACTGTTTAGTCTTATCCAACATAGGCTTAAATCTTACCAGCCTTAAATCTCTACTCCGTCGAAGATGAAAAAGACACTGCAATCCGACACCCTATTAGGGGGGGAGAGTTGAGTACTTTTAGTGTCAAAAAACACTTTGCAGGTGTTTCGACGTTCTACGAAAAAAGCGCTTTTGAGAAAGCACCAATATTTGATATGTATTAACCTACTTCTTTGGAATAAAAATATAGGCATAATTTTAAAAATACTTTCCCACTATCAAATCAAAGTTGCAATATTTTTGACTAAGTTAACTTCTAGTTAATTAAATACCAAAAGTACATTATAAATTGTACACTTAATGAAGTATTTCACTGCTTCTACAAAATCTATGGCACATCCAAATGGTTCCAACGCATATACCTTAACCACTTGAAGTTTCCGGTAATAAAGCCTTTTAGATTACTTTTACCTCAATGTTCGATTCTTTAATTTCAACGGTGTAGCTCAACCTCATTCTACAGCCCTTTTTTCAAAACTGAAACAAAAACAATACTTAGTTCTCCTGTTAGCATATCAATGAGAAAGACCCAATTTTCACCACTCAAAGTCACCTCAAAACAAGCCTAAACTGCTCGTTGCTTTCGAATCCAGTTAATTCAAACAACAATACATTTGTAGAAGTTATTGAAGTAAACACACCTTTTATTCCATGTACACGTATATAAAAGGTTAGGTATGTACATCAATAGCCTTAAGTGTTATCTAGACAGACCTAAATAGCCTCTATGAATTTAAACCATATTCCAAAATACTTATGTGATCTATGCATTCAAGTGTCCAAATTACATTCTATCTTCTCCCACAGTTTGAGCAAGAGGAGATACAATGTCAAGATTTAACATAGCATATAAAATCTAAAATGTGACAAACGTTTCATGAAGATGTCTACTATCCAATTTGTCCATGGCGATACATTTACTAATAAGGTCACCAGCTACTACTTTTTCTCTCACAAACTGAATCAATTCCTAATAATTTCTCTACGAGCATGTTGAGGGTTAGCAACCATACAGATTGTGCAAATACTATCACAGTACAAACAATTGGACGAGGAAGGGAACCACAAAACCTCAGTTGTAACAGTATATTCAACCTCAGAAACAGGAGGAGAAACTGTGGGTTGTATCTTGATTTCCTAAGGAATTAAGTCTCACCCAAAGAAACAACAATAACAAGTAACCAGGCGACGAGTAACAAGACAACCAACCCAATCAGCATAAGGGACGCGGGCAAAGTTAAGGTACACTTTTATTTGTTCAATTATGTCTTAACAAGCTCCCTCATGTGCTGTTTCAAAATATATATTTTTTTAATTTCAAAACAAGCTCCCTCACGTGCAGACTTGATTCTTGTTCTTTTAAATTGTATCAAGCATGTGGAAATACCTTTCTTCATAACAGAAACACACACTTTGTATCAATGTACAAGTACATATGTCATATAGAAGGTTCGGGGGTGGATGTTGGCTTTAAGATATGGGTTTGGCAGAACCCACTATCACTGGCCTAAACTCTCTCTCTCTATGTGTGTGTGTGTGTGTGTGTGTGTGTCAGGAAAAGTGTATTCAACACATACGGGCTCATGGAAAAGATCCTATACTTGAGATAAGTGAGCACAAGAGCTTGTAATGAATGCTTTTACTAGTACTTGAAATAATCTTTATTACAATTTATCCTTTGCCCCATTCTTTGAGATGCCTCCTTGCCGATCAAGGAGCAACACTGCTCATGATAACCTTAGCTTTAAGCTGCTATCGTTCGGTTCGAATAGGTCAAGTTCTTTTGATCGCTTTCTTTAGGCGGTCTTCCTTTATCTTTCCAAACGTTGAGAGTGGCTATGGTTTGAGATGAGAAAGGAGCACTGACCGAACACATTGAATGAATAAGAAATTAACAACAAAGGGGATCAATTATTCGACCAAGTCCTAGCAAGGAAGATGTAGATTACACACTTCGAAGTAAGCTTATGGGTTGTTTCGGAGCTTGCTAAGAAATCCACTATATATGTACAAAAACTAAATTTAGAAGCCAGTTACTAGCACTTGAGGTCACTGTCCTGGAAGTCGAAACCCATAAAGTTCAAATTTTGGACCCGCGTCTTAGAAGGTTAGGGATGTAAATCACTAGCCTTAAGTCTTATCTACATATATCCAAATAGACTACAAATACCATATTCAAAATACATTTATCTACTAATACATTCAATTCCTCAAATCACATTCCATCAATGTCCCCTAATAGAAAACAATAGGTTAATAGCCACGCAAAAGAAACACACGCACACACACAAAATGGGTCAGGAAATCACACACGTCCTTCGTTCCAAAATGTCCGACACGTCTCATTTCCTGAAATTCGGATTAATTGCACTTTGACTAACAATTTGAAATGCATTTATTCACTACTTAGATAAGGGAAGACTAGCTACTTATATACTTCTCATATAGTTTCCAAATACCTAACTTTTAGTTTTAATGAAGAGTTTAAGTAAAAAAAATTTATATACTATCATGTCACGTTTAGCTATTATATCTCACTTTTTCTGAAAGCTTACCTGTAAATATTCTTTGGATGACCTGATAGTGTAATTTTTTTTCTTTACTATATTACTTAAGCTCTTATAAGATGAATTGATCTAGTAAATTAAGCTTCCATATTGACTCTCTGCAAACCAATTTTGGCAGAACGAGTACATATGTGTTGGCACGGGTAAAAAATTGAGCAGCTTAAACATTAAGGAAGTAAATGACATGCCTGTTTTTGGTGCAGAGAGAAATCGAAGTCCTCAAGAGAAGATAGCGAGCCGTCCGGTTTTGCTTTATCCACTTCACGAGCCACTTTACGGTTCAACCAGCGAATCAAAAGCACCACTCCCACAGCTTCCACTGCAAGGACCGTTACAGCTCCCAGAACAAACACTATAAAGAGCAGCAACATTTCTTTTTCTTTTTCCTAATTTTTCCAAAATGAACAAGCACTAAGATTACGCTCTGTCACAAATCCATTTTTGCAGAAATATTTTTGACCAAGATGAAGAGTGGATTTGAGAGAAAAAGAGAATATAGGCCACCCGTAATTAATTACGAATGAACGACGGAATTCGCGGATAAAAGTACTGTGTTATGGCACATTTCAGCAAAGTGGCTGACCAACTTCTGACTCAAACGCTTCTTGTGAAGTTCTTTTTTGCGATCTAATTGAGGTATTTTCCTAAGTCATAAAAATAAAAATAAAAATAAAATAGTCTACTGTTGAAACAGACATTATTTGTTTCCTATTTTGCCATTTTTTCAGTTATCGTAATTCCACTGGTGTGGTCCATACTTGGTTCTATGGTATGTATTCCTATCATTCTTACCTGTCAGCCTGGCCCATATCAGGAAAAAAGCACACTTACCCACACAGTGACTGATTAATGGAATTTTTTCCTTTCTGTACATTATCAAAATTATCTAAATATTATTATATATTACCCGTCCTAAATAAATTTTTGTTACAAATTATATTGTATACGGTACCCGATTTCGTGAACTCGAGGGTTACTTCATGAGAGAAATCGAAATAGACCATGAGTGAGCCCGATGGGAGGCTTCAAAGATCGAAGTACTCGATGGACACCCAGGCCAAGCGCGACCAGCCTCGAGATAATGTCGTTGTGGTTTTGTAACAGAAAATGCGAGATTCCCGCAATGGCTCAAAGATCAAGGCGTAAATTCCGGAACGGATTTGTACGAACTCGTACTAGGCGGTTAGACAACTGTCAGATTAGATTCCTTACTGAAAAACGGAAATGTACCTTATTTAGGATCCCTCCCCCCCCTATTATATAAAGGGGAGCCCATTCATTTGTAAAGCATCATCTAATCATTGGCAAAGAATATACTATTTTACTTTTCTGGCTGATTGCTCATCAGAACTATCTTTCTCTTTACTGTTCTTATATTATTGTTCTTGGTCCATCTCGAGGTCACTGAGCTCGAGGTCGATACTGCTAAACTATACTGGTTTGGTTCACTTATTTCTATCATTTCTACTTCATACTTCTTGATTATTAATTGGTATTGAATTAAATCACGTATATTTAAAACCATAAATAAAATTTAATTGTTACTCGTATTTTCGAGGTAAACAGTTTGGCGCCGTCTGTGGGGCTAAAGATAGTAGTGATTATTTCATTACTGATTCTCATAACACACGTTATTTTTACACTTTTTCTTGTCAAGAACTTTTGATTCTCAGGATTAAACATGTCAAACTCGCAAAATGCACACGTTCATGATAACGAAGGTCTTGAATATCATGGGGGAAACAACAATGTAGTGGTCGGTGTACCACCGCTAAACCAAGGGGAAGTGCCAAATGTGGAACTAATTGATGTTAGTTCACATATTGATTTGAATGCAGATCTAGGCGCAGACCCTGGAGGGAGTATACGCAGGGAAGCCCGATCTGGGGGCCAAGGAACACTAGGTATAGGAGATGGGGGAGTCAGCCTCCAAGTGATATTCGAGATGCTGCAGGCTCAGCAGATCGCCATCGCTCAACTTCAAAGACAGATAAAACTCTGAGTATAGCTGAACCAGAAAACACCCGACGTGCTGAACCGGCGCCAGAGAGGTCGAACGAAAATGGCTCGGGGACTGACCCCACAATTATGAGGATGCTCGAGGAGCTCACCAAGAGGATCGAGTCCGGATAAAAAAGGATTGAGGATAATGGCAAAAAGTGGAGACTTATAACTCCCGTGTCGATCAAATATCGGGAGCTCCCCCAATCTTGAAGGAATTGGATGCCAAGAAATTCGTACAAAGGTCGTTCCCTCCAAGTGCGGCTTCGAAGCCCATCCCAAAGAAGTTCTGCATGCCTGATATACCTAAATACAACGGAACCTCTGACCCAAATGAACACGTTACTTCTTATACATGCGCTATAAAGGGAAACAACTTGGAAGACGACGTAATCGAGTCTGTACTGCTAAAGAAGTTCGGGGAGACTCTATCGAAGGGTGCCTCAATATGGTATCATAACTTACCCCCTAATTCTATTGATTCGTTTGCTATGCTTGCAGATTCTTTTGTAAAGGCACACACCGGAGCCATTAAAATTGCAACAAGAAAGTCGGACCTTTTCAAGATAAGGCAGAAAAATAACGAGATACTCAGGGAATTCGTATCTCGATTCCAAGCGGAGAGATTGGATTTGCCTCGGTCACCGATGACTGGGCTGTTCAAGATTTCACTCAAGGTCTCAACACTCAGAGTTCCATAGCGTCACAGCAGTTGAAGCAAAGTTTAATCGAGTACCCGGCTGTCACTTGGGCTGACGTACATAATCGGTATCAGTCGAAGATTAGGGTCGAAGACGATCAACTGGGGACTCCTTCGGGGTCCGTTTATCCTAGCAGGATCATGGATATGATCAAAAGGGATATCGATCAAGAGCCGAGGTCGAATATAGATCGATATCAACCGTACAACGGAGACTATAGAGGCAGCGATTTCGGGCAAAGCTTCACACGAAGTGAGAGGAGAAATGATCGAGGTAAAAATTCACGGGGGCTTGATGCCGAGGAAGATCACGTTAAGTATCTAAAGTCCGAATAAAGGTAATATCCAATCTTTTCTATTTTCGACTAACACTTGCAGGCTATCGATAAGGATCGGCACGAAGCTCTGGATCTTGAAGCACGTGTTGCACTCTTTTTCCCTTAGACCGGTTTTTGTCCCAAATAGGTTTTTTCGGCGAGGTTTTTAACGAGGCAACCGTTGTTCGTGCTAACTAAAAACAATTCAACAGTATCCGAGGTTCCCTATGGTAAGCCTCGAATACTGGAGGGCATTACCTTTGAGTGTCTGCTCTTTGACAAGCAAATCACTTCGTGATAACGGGCCTCGATAGGAAAGTGTTGTAAGGGCCAAACGGTCAGATGAACCGTGCTCGTATAGGTTACTCGAGCCCTAGACATCAAGCATGCGCGCATGTATAATCATCTGTCAAGAGAAGTACTTTTCCTTGTCGATATCCCCTGCCTTTATAAAATTTTCATATTTTATACTCTTGATCTATTGTGTAAACAGGCTTAAGGGCCGACCGCGGCGGAAATTCGAACAACTGACCCATGCTTGAGGACTGCTGTCCCAAAAGCAAACAGAATCAAACTGCTAACATTTCGAGACCATAAGACCTTAAAGGCAATCCTCAATTTTACAGGCCACGGCCACCCCACTCGGTACTGGCACTTCGGGCAAGCTCGAAGTGAAACGGAAGATCAGCCCAAAGGGAAAGTGCCAAACCAAAGAGCCTAAGGGCCAATATAAAAAAGCCCAAGGGCTACCTTAACCCGAGTTCGAGCAAACTCTCACTCGGGGACTATCTATAAATCCTAAGGGCTAACTTTATTTTGAGTTCGAGCAAGCACTCACTCGACTACTAAGCCCAAGGGCTACCCAAGTTCGAGCAAGTTCTCACTCGGGGACTATCTATAAAGCCTAAGGGCTAACTTTATTTTGAGTTCGAGCAAGCACTCACTCGACTACTAAGCCCAAGGGCTACCCGAGTTCGAGCAAATTCTCACTCGGAGACTATCTATAAAAGCCTAAGGGCTAACTTTACTCCGAGTTCGAGCAAATCCTCACTCGACTATAAAGCATAAGGGCTATCTTTCATTTCAAGTTCAAGCATATACCCACTCAACCATCAAGTCCAAGGGCTACGTTACCTCATCGACTGTTTGGCCTAAGAGTTACTCAAACTCAAGTTCAAACGATCATTCGGGGTCCATTGATCAGAAACGGTCAAGGGCAGTACTTATTGTCGGTCATTACCATCTCAAAACTTTGGATATTCGAAGGAAATTTTATTCTAAGACGCTCTGACCCGCACAAAAAGGGTAACATATTCAGAAGCCATGGAAGGAAAAAAGCTTTGTATAAACCTATTAACAAGGGCAATGGGCCACGATCAAGAGTTCCTCGCAAGGGCCGATCAGCCTCAAAAGCGAAAAATTACGAAGAACACGAAACCTAAGCAGCGTGATCCTTATCGGCAGAAATGTCTTCACCCACAGAATCTTCTCCACTGCTGGACTCGCTGGAGTTCTCAAAGTCGTCCTCATGAAAGGCCAGCTTCCAAGCTTTTGTTTCCTTAGTCACTTACGTCACAATGATGATGTTGTAAGAAATCGGGGTAAAGATCAGGCACTCAATTCGTTTCTTGTCGTTATACTCCAAAAAACGAGGGGACTATCTATATACGGTAGAAATCGGGGCTACCCGATTTCGTGAACTCGAGGGTTACCTCAGGAGAGAAATCGAAATAGACCATGAGTGAGCCCAATGGGAGGCTTCGAAGATCGAAGTACTCGATGGACACTGAGGCCAAGCGCGGCCAGCCTCGAGATAATGTCGTTGTGGTTTTGTAACAGAAAAGGCGAGATTCCCACAATGGCCCAAAGATCAAGGCGTAAATTCCGGAACGGATTTGTACGAACTCGTACTAGGCGGTTAGACAGCTGGCAGATTAGATTCCTTACTAAAAAATGGAAATGTACCTTATTTAGGACCCCCTATTATATAAAGGGTAGCCCATTCATTTGTAAAGCATCATCTAATCATTGGCAAAGAATATACTATTTTACTTTTCTAGCTCATTGCTCATCAGAACTGTCTTTCTCTTTACTGTTCTTATATTATTGTTCTTGGTCCATCTCGAGGTCACTGAGCTCGAGGTCGATACTGCTAAACTACACTGGTTTGATTCACTTATTTCTATCATTTCTACTTCATACTTCTTGATTATTAATTGGTATTGAATTAAATCACGTATCTTTATAACCATAAATCAAATTTAATTATTACTCGTATTTTCGAGGTAAACATATATACAATCACCTAATCAAGTGTACTTTCAGCTGTGGGCTTCTTCAATTATACGCGTGATTCAAGCAACATAATAATTTTCTGTTACAAAATAAATACGATACAATCTACGAATAATATAATACACAATTGACGCCAATTTTTCTACAATTTTTGTCGCGCCCCGTTTTCTCTCGAAAAGCGGGTTTCGACGTGTGACAACTCATTTTAAAGGTATTAAAAGAGAAGAGTCGCCACCTAACGATTTTAAAGATGCGTTAGGGCACCTTTCTTGCAAATAACTCTGTTTGACTAGGGGGGGGGGGGCTAAAATTTTTAGCCTAAAGGATCACCACGTACAACATAAATAATACTTCGCAACTCCCTTGGGGTAGGGAGTTACACAGA